ACTGGTAAAGCCACTATGGAAGACAGTAGGGAGATACCTCAGAAGTCTTAATATAGACCTATCATATGACACAGCCATCCCACTCCTGGGAATTTACCCAAGGGAAATGAAATCAGCATATGAAAGAGGTATCTGTACCCTTATGTTTACTGCAGCTCAGTTCATAATAGCTAAGACATGGAATCAACCCAAATACCCATCAGCTGAAGACTGGATAAAGAAATTATGGGATATGTACACCATGGAATACTACACAGTAGTTAAAAAAAAAATCAGGCCAGCACTGTGGCCTAGCGGGTGAACGCCCTGGCCTGAAGCGTGGGCATCCCATATGGGCGCTGGTTCAAGACCCATCTTCTCAACTTCCAATCCTGCTCTCTCAGTAGAGAGGATAGGTAAGGGTTTTTACATTCAAACGAGGCAGAGTGGACAGTGAGAGAGACAGAGAGGCTGTTGGTTCACCCCGCAATGGCCGCTGCGGCTGGCACACTGCAGCTGGCGCACCACGCTGATCCGAAGCCAGGAGCTTCTCCTGGTCTCCCATGCTGGTGCAGAGCCCAAGGACTTGGGCCATCCTCCACTGCATTCCCGGGCCACAGCAGAGAGTTGGACTGGAAGAGGAGCAACCGGGACAGAACCCGGCGCCCCAACCAGGACTAGAACCTGGTGTGCCAGCACCGCAGGGGGAGGATTAGCCTAGTAAGCCGCGGTGCCAGCCCCAATCCAGCTCTCTGCTATGGCCTGGGAAAGCAGTAAAGATGGCTCAAGTCCTTGGGCCCTGCACCCGCATGGGAGACCCAGAAGAAGCTCCTGGCTTCGGATCGGTACAGCTCCAGCCATTGTGGCCAACTGGGGAGTGAACCATTGGATGGAAGACCCCCCCACCCCCCGCCTCTCTGCCTCTCCTCTCCCTGTGTAATTCTGACTTTCAAATAAATAAATGAATTTAAAAAAATCCGGTCATTTACAACAAAACAGATGAAACTGGAAAACATCATACTCAGTGAAATAAGCCAGTCCCAAAAGGACAAATACCATATGTTCTCCCTGAGCTGTGATACCTAATAGAGCACCTAAAAGGTAATCTGTGTAAGTGAAATTGACATTTTGAGAAGCAATGGCTTTAAACAGCCCTTGTCTCAACTGTTGAGGAACAGTTTTTTCCCCACGCTATTTGTTGAACTCTTTACTAAACATGGAGTTAATCACATTTGTATAAAATTAATTGAGAATAGATCTTAGCAAAAAAATAAGAATGGGAACAGGAGAGGGAGGAGAAAGAGGGGTGGGAAAGTCGATGGAAGGACGGTGGGAAGAATCACCATGTTCCTAAAGTTGTCTTTATGAAATGTATGAAGTTTGTATTCCTTAAATAAAGTTTCTGGGAGGAAAAAAATGATAAATAGAGCCAGAAGACACAGAGTTTTCCAGAAACTGATCCATGTATAAAATACGAGTGTTTTCTATGTAAAATATTGTCATTTAAATCAGTAGACAGCTGATAGGCTATTCAAGAAATAGTGCGGTAATAAATTTTTAAAAAATATTTATTTATTTATTTGAAAGGCAGAGTTACAGAGAGGAGAGATCTTCCATCCGCTGGTTCACCCCCTAAATGGCCGCAACAGCTGGAGTGGGGCCAATCTGAAGCCAGGAGCCAGGAACAACTTCTGGGTCTCCCACGTGGGTGCAGGGGCCCTAGCACTTGGGCCATCTTGCTGCTTTCCCAGGCCATAGCAGAGAGCTAGATTGGAAATGGAGCAGCCAGGGCTTGAACTGCACCCATATGGGATGCTAGCACTGCAAGCAGTGGCTTTACCTGCTTCGCCACAGCACTGGCCCCCAAAAATCTTTCTTAAAATTTTAATTTTAAAAGCAGGGTGTCTTCCATCTACTGGTTTACTTCCCAAATGTCCAGAACAGCTGGGGCTGAACCAGACTGAAGCAGGGAGCCCAGAACTCAGTTCACTTCTCCTTTGTGGGTGCCAGGGCTAATTGGGCCGTCTCCACTGCCTCCGAGGGTGTGCATTAGCAGGAAGCTAGGATGGGGAGCAGAGCAGATGTGAGTGTCCCAAATGTTGTGTTAACCACTAAGCTGAACATTCATCCGTGGGCATATCATGCAAAACAGCCATCATCTATGTGATCTGTCACTGGCTGAACTGCATTATGCCACATATTACTATAGTTCTAACCATCATATTACAAAGATAGAGCATATTTCCATCATCCCAGAAAGTTCCGTGGTGCCCCTTTATAACCAGTTTTCTCCTATCCCTGGGCCCTGGCAGCCACTGATCTATAGGTCTCATTTTTCTCTGTGTCATATAACTAAGGAATGAAATACATTATGTGGCCTTTTTTGTCTGGCCTCTTTCATGTAGCATGTTATTCACTTAGCATTTTAAGTAGTTCCTTTTTATTGTTGAGTAGTAGGTTATTGTGTTGTGTATTCACATACTGTTGGCTTAAACAACAGAAATGTGTTGTCTTACTGTTCTAGTGCATAGAAATCTGAAATCAGGGTGTCTGCAGGGTTAAAGTTCATGCTTTTTAAGAGGTTCATTCCTCTATCCTAGCTTTTGGTGGCCCCAGGCATTTGGTTTGTGGCAGCATAACTCCAATCTGACTCCATCTTCATTTGGCCATCTACTTCCTGCATTTGTTTTAATATCATCTTACCCCTTTGTGTCTGTGTCTAGATTTTTCCCTGTTTTGTAAGGCCCACCACAATAATGACCTCATTTTACTTGATTAGTTCTAGAAAGACCCCATTTCTAGATGAAGTCACATTCTGAGAGACTGGAAGATGGATCTTTAGCATATCTTTTTAAGATGGCATAGTTCAACCGAAAACATATGGGTGGGCAGTAATTTATTCAGCCATTCACTCATTGATGGGCATTTAAATTGTTTCCATCATGCTAGACAACTCAGAACAGAAGAGAAAAGAAACTTACTTGAACCATTCTTTCCAGCCTCTTGTGTGGAAGAGGAGAGAGATGATTCCTCTGCTCAGATCCTGATCTACCTGCCTATCTGAAAAAGAAATGCTAGCAAGTAACAGAAAGGAAAGAGGAGACTCTTTGAAAAGCTGGAGACGGAGCCAGCACTACGGCATAGTGGTTAAGTTGCTGCCTATGATGCCAGCATCCCATATGGGCGCCAGGTCAAGTCCTGGCTGCTCCAGTTCCAATCCAGCTCCCTGCTAATGTGCCTGGGAAGGCAGTGGAGTATGGCCCAAGTCCTTGGGTCCCTGCATCCATGTGGGAGACCTGGAAGAAGTTCCTGACTTCAACCTGGCCCAGCCCCAGCCTTTGTGGGCATTTGGGGAGTGAACCAGCAGATGGAAGATTTCTCCCTTTTTTTCTCTCCGTCTCTCTCTCTCTGGCTGTGCCTTTCAAATAAATAAAAGGAAAATCTAAAAAAAGAGACTTAGAGACTTCAAGTGAAAAGCAAAATAAATGTGATGCAGTAAGTTTATCCAATCTGTTGTTTCATTTGTATTTTAAATTAAATCTTTTTAGGGGAGGATATGCAAGCTTTTGTCACATATGTTCCACAGTGAATTAACTGAGTAACTTGAGTAGGTCAGGATCAAACTTTAAGTGTTCCGTTCTGTTCTAGTTGATTTCAATTTGTTCCATGTTTCTCTAAGACCGTGATGCTTGGCCAGCAGTTCTTGAGAGATATTTCCTCTCAGGGTATTGGGCTCAGTGTGCTTACTATTAGAGAAGCAGCCTTGAATACAGTGTGTGCCAGATGAAGGAATATGGAATGGGGTTGGGGAATGACATGAACATGTGGAGGGCAAAGAGAGTGAGAGGGCAGCTTTGGAAAGTCAGCCCCAGTGTTGGGTTTTAGTAATTTTGAGCTTTAACCACACTGGGACAGAGCATAAAAATGAGAATCAGAAGGAAAATGTCAGTAGGCTTAGTCAGATCATTACAGTAAATGTTTATTAATGGCTAGGGTGCAAAGAATGAGTTAGGTCTTGTAGGTTGGCCCTGTTGTGGAATTCTGTCTTTATTGGGAGCCACTGAAAGATTTTCATCAGAGGGGACATGATTAGCAGTAAAGCCTGGCAGGGATTTACGTGTTAATCAAATCGTCCAAAATAGCAAGTAGAAACAGACTGAAAGAAATGAACACATCTCATAGACTATACTAAATGTGAAACACATGGCACAAAACATGTAAAGGTCTCATTACAAAGAAGTGATACATGTTTGAGCGGTGGGTAACCTAAATACCCTGAGTCGATCAATACACATGGTGTGAATGCACCAGCACATCACACTGTATCCCGTAAAAGTGGACAGTTATTATCTGACAATTTTTAAAAATAGACTTGTATAAAAATGTACAATATGATTTCAATTTTGTTGAAAAAAAGCTTCTAGGAAGTACACCAAAGTTTTATTTCTGATGGTGATTATTTACATAATTTTTTCTTTTTACTGTTTTGTATCTTTTTTAAAAAAGTTTTTTTTTTTTTTTTTATTTATTTGTTTGAGAAGTAGAGTTACAGACAGAAAGAGGGAGAGACAGAGAAAGATCTTCCATCTGCTAGTTTACTTCCCAGATGGCTGCAACGGCTGGAACTGGGCCGATCTGGAGCCAGGAGCTGCTTTCAGGTCTCCCAAGTGGGTGCAGGGGCCCAAGGACATGGGCCATCATCTACTGCTTTCCCAGATCATAGCAGAGAGCTGGATTGGAAGAAGGGCAGCTGGGACATGAACTGGAGCCCACATGAGATGCTGGTGCTGCAGGTGGAGGCTTACCTTACTACGCCACAGCACCAGCTCCTGGTATCTTCTAAAATCATAACAGTGCCCATATAATTTTCGGTATCAAAATTTAAAAAGAACATGCTTTAAAAAAAGAAAAATAGGCGAGAAGCTTGATAACTGTGAGCACTTCTGGACTTGGGCGTGCTTTCTATACTTGATGTTTGGAAATGACTTTGACTGACTGACCCTGTGTCTTTGATCTTTCAGCACAGGAGAAAACGACGCTCCACTCCTTTAACTTCTTCCACACCTCCTTCACAAGCAACAGAGAAAAGCTCATATTTTCAGACCACAGAGATCTCACTCTGGACAGTGGTGGCTGCTCTGCAGGCCGTAGAGAAGAAGATGGAGTCCCAGGCTGCGCGGCTGCAGAGCCTGGAGGGGCGCGCAGGCACAGCCGAGAAGAAGCTGGCCGACTGCGAGAAGACGGCCGTGGAGTTTGGCAACCAGCTGGAGGGCAAGTGGGCCGTGCTGGGCACCCTGCTGCAGGAGTACGGGCTGCTGCAGCGGCGCCTGGAGAACGTGGAGAACCTGCTGCGCAACAGGAACTTCTGGGTGCTGCGGCTGCCCCCGGGCAGCAAGGGGGAGGCTCCCAAGGTAGCTTCATTATCTCTTAAGTCAGCCAAGAAGGGAGCCAGGCCTTTATTATCCAAGCTTCTAAATTGCTGGCTTTTCCTTCCTGGATGTGTCAGGGTGCTCATTGTGTGCCAATTGTGATTTCAGATGTCCAGGTCGCTGGAGAATGATGGTGTCTGTTTCACTGAACAGGAGTGGGAGAATCTGGAAGACTGGCAGAAGGAGCTCTACAGAAACGTAATGCAGAGCAACTATGAGACACTAGTCTCTCTGAGTGAGTAGCAGGTCTCTCTCTAGAGCACTCTCTCAGATACCCTGAAATTCCTGGTGGGTAGCTTGTGGCTTAGACCATACCTGTGACTCTAACTGGCTTTGGATCATCTGTTGGCCTGTGCCAAGTGGAGAAACAGGCATCTCCAGTCCTCTCACATAGAGAAGTTTGGAAAGGCCTCAGATTTGTGCCTTTGTATTTCTTCTCTCTGTCGCAATCAGTTCCAGAGAATATTTACTAGTATTTTCATGCGTTGTGGTATAATATTGCTAGGGTTCCTTATGCTGTTTTTAATATTTAAGTCTGTTTGGGCCGGCGCCGCGGCTCACTAGGCTAATCCTCTTCCTTGCGGCGCCGGGACACCGGTTTCTAGTCCCGGTCAGGGCGCCGGATTCTGTCCCTGTTGCCCCTCTTCCAGGCCAGCTCTCTGCTATGGCCAGGGAGTGCAGTGGAGGATGGCCCAAGTGCTTGGGCCCCGCACCCCATGGGAGACCAGGATAAGTACCTGGCTCCTGCCATCAGATCAGCGCAGTGCGCCGGCCGCAGCGCACCAGCCATGGCGGCCATTGGAGGGTGAACCAACGGCAAAGGAAGACCTTTCTCTCTGTCTCTCTCTCTCACTGTCCACTCTGCCTGTCAAAAAAAAAAAAAAAAATTAAAAAAAAAATTTAAGTCTGTTTGATAAGAACTCCTTTGTTTTTTGTGTTGATTAGAGGTGCTGTCAGGGCTGTGCTGTGGCATAGTGGGTAAAGCTGCCTCCTGCAGTGCCAGCATCCCATATGGGCACCAGTCCTGGCTCCTCCACTTCTGATCCAGCTCTCTGTTATGGCCTGGGAAAGCAGTGGGGAATGGCCCAAATCCTTGGGCCCCTGCACCCATGTGGGAGACCTGAAGGAAGCTCCAGGCGCCTGGCTTCAGATCAGCCCAGATCTGGCTGTTGCAGCCATTTGGGGAGTGAACCAGTAGATGGAAAACCTCTCTCTCTCTGTCTGTCTCTCTCTCTCTCTGTCTCTCTCTCTGCCCCTGCTTCTCTGTAACTCTGCCTTTCAAAAAAATAAATCTTTAAAAAAAAAGTGCTGCCTAATATATTTAAATTTTTGTATGTAAAGTATTATCTATTACATAATAAATGCATTTTGCTTGGTACACAAAATCTTTTAAAATGTTAAGTCCATGGAGGAATGTCAAGAAGGCCAATGTGGCAGGAGCAGAGTGAGGGGAAGTAGCAAATGGGCCAGAGAGGAGAGTGTGACCTTGATTATTTCCTGTCTGTCACAGTACTTACTTTACCTTGTTATAGTACCCTAGCAAGCCTGGAGTTAGATCTGAAAGGAAGCATTGACTGAACTTCAGCCAATACATGTGGAGAAATAGTGGTGGTGTTGGTGGGGATAGGAGAACGGCTCTGCAGTCTGTCTCCCTCCACCAAAGATATCCCTACTGAAGGAGCAGCAGCAGCTTCTTCATTAGAATAAGCCAGAACTTTCTTTTCTTTCTTTTTTTTAAATAAAGATTTATTTATTTATTTGAAAGAGTGACACAAAAAGAGAGGAAGGGACACAGAAAAAGATTCCATCTGCTAGTTCAGTCCCCAAATGGCTGCAATGGCCTTTGCTGAGGCAAGCCAAATTCAGAAACTAAGAACTCCATCTGGGTCGTCTGTGTGGGTGCAGGGGCCCAAGTGTTTGGGCCATCTTCTGCTGCTTTTCCTGGGCACATTAGCAGGGAGCTGGTTTGGAAGTAGAGCAGCCAAAACATGAATCAGTGCCCAATAATGGATACAACATCACAGGTGGCAACTTAACCTGCTGGACCACAACACTGGCCCAGCCAGTATTTTCTAATAGGGGAAAGTGGCAAGAATGGTAGCTGTTGAAGTTTGGAAAGTTATAGTTATCTACTCCCTGCCATCGGTCACCTGGTTCATTAGCCGTTGACCAGAATGAATGAGCTTTTATTTTCTCCTAGACTTAACTTGTACCGTTTTCAACCCAGAGGTCCTTGGCCAGCCAGAGGGAGAAGCGGAGTTGGGTACAGAGATGTTGGGTGACTTGGAAGAAGAAGGCCCTGGTGGTGCCCACCCACGTGAGTGTCTCCACCTTATCCTATCTTCCTATCCCACAGTTACCTCATAGCTCCCTATAGGCTGTAGTCCACTTTCCCACTGCCTAAACTGCCAAATACCTACTGTCAGTAATCTCTGGCATTTGCTTGTGTCGTCAGTTCATCACTTCTCTGTCTGTCTTAACTCTGCCACTCTGGGGTCTTTAAGACTAATGACCATATCACCCTGCATACCCTACAGAGCAGAGTGCTAACAGGCTGCAGTCAAACCCTGCTGGGGCCGAGAATGGGTGGGTCAGAGTGTCGGGAGGAAAGGAAATTCAGGGGAAGTGTTTGGAAGTGTTCATTTGTGGAGAATATGCAGGAAGAACAGAGCTTGATACATGAAATCGTAAGGTACGGCTTAATTTATTTTCCTTTAAGCATTCAAGTTTGTTATTTTAACACTACCTCAAATTAGTATAGTTGTTATAGTAGATTTTGTTATTTTTCACACATATTTATAGACAAGCCTGGAGAACTATCATTTACAACATTCTATAAGAGTGGTACACTTGGCTCTCTAGTCAACATGTCTGCTCACACACAAGTGCAGGTTTTGTTTTTTATGAGTTGTGGAACCAAGTCAGCCCTGTCCTGTAGATTGTCCTAATTCACTTGTTCCTGGGGTGCTTTGGTTTGAGCTCCTCTGAAATTCACAGGTGTTTGCTTGGCTCCAGAGAAACCAGTGGTGCTAGAATGTGATCTTTTTCAAATGTTGATCTTTTGCTTTGCAGCAGACGGAATCGTGCTCAGACAGGAGCTACAATACCAGCAGGAAGGCTCTGCAGATCTTCCTGGAGAGTTCTCGGGTGTCGCTGAAGAGCAGGCTTTCCTGAACCCAGAACAGACTGAACTCTGGGACGGTCAGGGTGGGTCTGTCTTCTTGGAATCAGGCCCTGGAGACTCTAATCTGGAGGAGCCTGTGGGCAGTAGAGACCCCAGCAGTGGCAGAATTCTGGGCTGCCCCCCAAAGCAGAAATATCGTAGGCAGGTGCAACTGGGTCAGGAATGTGGGCAGGGCCTGAAGCTAAAAAGGGATGCTTCTGGCCCCTATCAGTGTTCAGAGTGTGAGCTCAGCTTCCGCTACAAGCAGCAGCTGGCCACTCATCTGCGGAGCCACTCAGGGTGGGAGTCTTATACAGCTGCAGAGCCAGTGGAGAGCCTTCGGCCCAGGCCACGCCTTAAACCCCAGTCCAAGAAGGCAAAACTGCATCAGTGTGATGTATGTCTGAGGAGCTTCAGCTGTAGGGTGAGCCTGGTGACCCATCAGCGCTGCCACCTGCAGGAGGGGCCCAGTGCTAGCCAGTACATCCAGGAGAGGTTCTCACCCAACAGCCTGGTTGCCCTGCCTGGTCACATCCCTTGGAGGAAAAGCCGGAGTTCCCTCATCTGTGGTTACTGTGGCAAGAGCTTCAGCCACCCATCTGACCTGGTGCGGCACCAGCGCATCCACACAGGGGAGCGGCCCTACCGCTGCACCGAGTGTGAGAAGAGCTTTGTCCAGAAGCAGCACCTCCTACAGCACCAGAAGATCCATCAGCGGGAGCGGGGTGGGCTGGCCTTGGAGTCTGGAAGGCCCAATGGCCTGCTTTAAGGGTGCCAGCCCCTCGCCCGTCTGGGGGGCGGAGGGGGGTGGCATTAGTCCCCCCAAGAGACACTGCAGAATCAAGGACTGACTCCTTCCTAAAGGGAGTTGTTTCTGACTTGCCTTCCCTAACCAAAACCAGGCCAAACCTAAATGCTTTGGTGAAAACCAGGTGGAAGAGGAGTCTGGGGCCAGGCCTTTCCCTGCTGTTGTGACCCTGCTGCCGGGGTTGCTATCTCTTTGGGCTCCTCAGGTTTCTGGTTTCGATTCCAGGCTGTCACTCATGGGTTGGAGTTGGCATTTTGACCCCATGGGGACTGGTGGCCAGTTCTAGGGCCTATACCAGTGTTTCCTGTCTTCCTGCAAGGTTGAATCAGGCCACAGGAGTGGGCAGATGCGTGGAAGAGTTCTGGGAAGCATTAATCTCCATTTCCTCCTCTTCTGTAGTCTCTGTTAATAATAAGTAGAAGAAATAATTTAAATGAACAGCTTACCTTGTTCTAAAGACCATTTTTTGGAATTAGATTTTAGTTGACTATATATATATATGTACATATATATATATATATATATCCCAACACTTTAAATTGAGAAATTGTAGAAGTTGTTCCTAACATGGGGACTGGGCCTACCCTCTGGGAGGGAATAGTTTATGGGGCTCTTTTAGCCCACCCACACCTTCTTAGGCCAGAGAACAGGGGACACAGTGCTGGGCTCTCTCTTCTTGGGGTGCTTGGTGCTCTTAAATGGGGCTAATTGTCTCTAAAGGACCAAGGGGAAGAGAGTAGCATGGGTAAACCCAAAGCCCCTGCTAAGAGTAAAAATTCCTATAAAGTAGCTGAGGGTTCCATTCTTGTGGGAGTTTTGATGAGTCTCCAAGTCTCATCACACCCTTCTCTTCCTCTGCCAACCCAGTCCTGTGGTTCTACAGCCTCCTGGGATAGAAGACTACTTTGTTACTTAAGTTTGTTCAGCTTGTATCAGTGTTTGTTTGTTTGTTTGTTTTTGACATTTGTTCCTATTACAGCAGTCATCACTTAAAGTTGCTCAGATTACATTTGCCAAATCTGTGCCAGAGATGATGGAGAAAAAGCACACAGATGCTTGTCTCAGGAGTGTTGAATTCCTGCCCTGCTGTTGCTAGGGAGATGAGAATGGGTTCTTGGATCGCATTTGAGCATCCCCTTGGATGATTTGCCATTGCCTAGAATAAAAGTTGCTACTAGCAAAAAAAAGGGTCCTGCTAAAAAAAAAAATCTGTTGTTTTTCTCTATTTGTCAAGAACATTCTCCTTGGGCTAAGGGGGAAGAGGTGCCTAACCAGGAGCAATGACAGAGAGGACTGAGCCTAATCTGCACTTTGACTTAAATTTAGGACAAGAAGAGGGTGTAGATGAGAATTTTAAGGGGATTCTTTCTGTAGTGATGGATAGCTAGAGATAATCTGAGTGTTGGTTATTGGGAGGTAAAATGGCTAGGTAAAATATGGCAGATAAGTGGGATAAGCTTTAGCCTAGCTGTTTTTTTTTTTTTTTAAGATTTATTATTTATTTGGGCCGGCGCCGCGGCTCACTAGGCTAATCCTCCACCTAGCGGCGCCGGCACACCGGGTTCTAGTCCTGGTCGGGGCGCCAGATTCTTTCCCAGTTGCCCCTCTTCCAGGCCAGCTCTCTGCTGTGGCCCGGGAGTGCAGTGGAGGATGGCCCAAGTGCTTGGGCCCTGCACCCTATGGGAGACCAGGAGAAGCACCTGGCTCCTGGCTTCGGATCAGCGCGGTGTGCCGGCCACATCACGCCGGCCGTGGCGGCCATTGGAGGGTGAACCAACGGCAAAAGGAAGACCTTTCTGTCTGTCTGTCTCTCTCTCTCTCACTGTCCACTCTGCCTGTTAAAAAAAAAAAAATTATGTATTTGAAAGAGTTACACAGAGGAGAGAGAGAAGTCTTCCATCCGATGGTTCACTCCCCAATTGGCCACAACAACCAGAGCTGCACCAATCTGAAACCAGGAGCCAGGAGCTTCTTCTGGGTCTCCCACATGGGTGCAGGGGCCCAAGGACCTGGGCCATCTTCCACTGCTTTCCCAGGCCATGGCAGAGAGCTGGATCGGAAAGTGGAGCAGCCGGGTCTCAAACCGGTGCCCATATGGGATGCCGGCACTTCAAGCCAGGGCATTAACCAGCTGAGCCACAGTGCCGGTCCTTATCCTAGCTGTTAAGACACCTATGTATCATATCAGATCCCTGGACTTGATAACCCTGCTCTGGCTCTTGATTCTAGCTTTCTGCTGCTGCAGACTCTGGGAGGCAACAGTGATGGGTCAAGTAGTAGTAATTGGGTTCCTGACACCATGTGGAAGATACGGATTGAGTTCTTGGCTCCCTGCTTCAGCCTTGGCCCAATCCTGGCCATTGCAGGCATTTGAGGAGTGAGCCAGTGGCTGGGTTGGGGGAACGCTTGCGCTCTCCATCTCTTTCTCTCCACCCTCCCCCTTTTCTCCTTCCCAAAGATACGGAGGATATACAAGGGAGTACTAGGCAGCTGTTGGAAACATTGGGTTAGATGCACATGTAGCCAATGGTCAGTCTTAAGCAATCTGAGTAGAAAGTGTGACACAGATCTATAACACCATATGTGTGAAATAAAATACATATCCACCAAACATTTTGTTAGGGACCAAAAGATATACATTAAAGACATTATAGTTAGGCCGGCGCCGCGGCTCAATAGGCTAATCCTTCATCTTGCAGTGCCGGCACACCGGGTTCTAGTCCCTGTCGGGGTGCCAGATTCTGTCCCAGTTGCCCCTTTTCCAGGCCAGCTCTCTGCTGTGGCCCGGGAGTGCAGTGGAGGATGGCTCAAGTGCTTGGGCCCTGCACCCCATGGGAGACCAGGAGAAGCACCTGGCTCCTGCCTTCGGATCAGCGCGGTGCGCCGGCGGTGGCCGTTGGAGGGTGAACCAACGGCAAAGGAAGACCTTCCTCTCTGTCTCTCTCACTGTCCACTCTGCCTGTCCAAAAAAAAAAAAAAAAAAATATATATATATATATATAGTTGCCTGTGGGGACAGTGAGTAAGATATGGTGATAAAAAGGAACAAATAAATAGATAAAAAGAAAGTGGTTACTGCAAGGTATGGGGTTGTCTTGTTAGAGAAATGGAACTTGGAGGAAGAGTGTCCTGGGCAGGCACTGTGTGAGGTGTGAAGCCTCATGGTGAATAGGAAACCCCTGCAGCGGCTTTTCTAAATTCCTTTGTCAGTCTGTTCCTACTCCCAAGCTTTTATACTGCAGATATCCTTTCCTATCTTTGATTATTCATATCTCCCAATTATTGAATGCTCTAATGTAAACTTGCTTTGGGGGAGAAAAAAAGTTCAGGATAAGCTCCTGGTTCTGCAGCCAGGTTGTTTGCCCTGGGGTAAGGGAATAATTGTATTAAATAATTGGAGCACTTCCAACATTTGTTGAACACTTGTGTATTGGGCACTGTTTTACATTCTTTACATATAAGCTAGTCTTCAGGCCGGTGCCGTTGCTCAATAGGCTAATCCTCCGCCTGCGGCGCCGGCACACCGGGTTCTAGTCCTGGTCGGGGCGCCAGATTCTGTCCCGGTTGCCCCTCTTCCTGTCCAGCTCTCTGCTCTGGCCCGGGAAGGCAGTGGAGGATGGCCCAAGTGCTTGGGCCCTGCACCCGCATGGGAGACCAGGAGAAGCACCTGACTCCGGGCTTCTGATCAGCACCAGCCACAGCGGCCATTGGGGGGTAAACCAACGGATAAAGGAAGACCTTCCTCTCTGTCTGTCTCTCACTGTCCACTCTGCCTGTCAAAAAAAACCCCAAAAAACAAAAAACTAGTCTTTGTACAACTCCATGACTTCACCCCGTCTTATTTAAGAGCTGTGAGAGGAGACCTGAGGAGTGAGGTTCAGCAGAGGGGATGAACCCAGACTACCTTGTTGCAGAGTCAACACACTTCATCCTGGTGTGCTCTTGTTTCTGCAAGGTCAAGATTGGATTCTTAGTTCCCAATAGCCTGGTGTAGTCTCTGTACCAGCACCATTGGCATCTCCTAGAGCTGAGGGAAGGGTAGATTCAGACTGCAGATACGCATTTTAGCAAGATCTTGAGTGATGCATAAGCCACCCTCTTAATGCTACAACAAAATAGCCTCTTGTCTGCTTTAACTCTAGTCCTTCATTGAAAGCCTGCTCCACTAATTGCTGAGAAGAAAACAAGAAATGAACGGAAAGAGATGGTCAAGTTAGAATTTGGTCAACACACAGGGAAGAGTGAAACACCAAACAGTGCCTCTAATGTGTCCTGCCTTCTTGCCCCTTTCTGTTACCACAATTAGTGTCCTAATTGGCACTCACCTAAACTACTTGGAAATCTAACTGGCCACCTACTTGTCAATGTTGTTTCTGCTACCAGTGTTACCGCCCTAGAGTGTATAACTGAAGATGGGCTTTTCCCAGAACCTAGCAGCAGCATTTGCAACTACTGACAAAGAGCACGCTTTTTAGTGTAGGACTCAAGACGTTGAGCACCCATCTTTCTACATTCTGCCACGTGGCCTTGTCACTTATTGAATAAGCCAGTGCTTTCTCCCAGGAGTATTCTCTATGAAACAACAGTTTTCACTGTTTTGATTTGCAAGCCTCTTCAGTGAAAGTTTTCCTCATCCGTTTCTTTCATTGAGCACCTGTTTGCTAGGCACTGTTTCGAATGCTGGGGATACATCAGTAAATGAGGCAAAGATCTTGCTCTAGTTGAGTTTTTGTTCAGTCAAAGTCCTTTTCCTCTGCTGCACGTTTGCACAGCACTTTCCTAGTCTGGCACAGTGTTCTATTCTGTGCTAGGGTTTGTGCACCAACAAATAGCTGGTGCCTTCTGTGTGCAAAGCTCTTCAGAGGGATAGAAGGGTAAATCAGGGCACTTACAGGCTGTAAAAGGGAGCCAATACAAGATAAAGTATGTGTCTTAAGTGAGGCTAATGCCTATGAGAATTCAAAAACTTTGAGAGGTGACTGTTGAACTTGCCCTTTAAGGGTAGGAGAAGGGGGACCGGTGCTGTGGCATAACATGTAAAGCCACTGCCTGCAGTGCTGGCATCCCATATGGGCACCGGTTCGAGTCCTAGCTGCCCCACATCCCATCCAGCTCCGTGCTATGGCCTGAGAATGCAGTCAAAGATGGCCCAAGTGTTTGGGTCCCTGCACCTGCGTGGGAGACCTGGAAGAAGTTCCTGGCTCTTGGCTTTGGATTGGCACAGCTCTGGCCATTGCGGCCATTTGGGGAGTGAACCAGCAGAAAGAAGACCTTTCTCTTTATCTCTCCCTCTCACTGTCTGTAACTCTACCTCTCAAATAAGTAAATCTTAAAAAAAAAAGAAAAAATCAGAGCATGGAAGTGGACCGTAGCTGTGGGAAGCTGACTCCCAGGCCAGTAGAGTGAGTATCTCCTGGGAATATTTTACAAATGCCAATCCCCAACCTCCCCACCCTGTCCAGACTCCTTTTAAGAAACATCCCGGGTGAATGTGATGTACACTGAAACTTGAGTCCCACTTATTTAAACTGTTTTCCAATGAAACCAGCTGTCAGAATATCAGACTCTGGGACAGGTATTTGGTGCAGTGGTTAAAGAACCTTTGGGATAGGCCAGCGCCGCGGCTCACTAAGCTAATCCTCCGCCTTGCGGCGCCAGCACACCGGGTTCTAGTCCCGGTCGGGGCGCCAGATTCTGTCCTGGTTGCCCCTCTTCCAGGCCAACTCTCTGCTGTGGTCAGGGAGTGCAATGGAGGAGGCCCAAGTCCCTGGGCCCTGCACCTCATGGGAGACCAGGATAAGCACCTGGCTCCTGCCATCGGATCACCATGGTGGCCATTGGAGGGTGAACCAACGGCAAAGGAAGACCTTTCTCTCTGTCTCTCTCTCTCACTGTGCACTCTGCCTGTCAAAAAACAAACAACAAAAAAAAACAAAACAACTTTGGGATGCCTGCATCTCCTGTGAGGAAGTGCCTGGGTTTTAGTTCTGTTTCTGCTTAGAAGCCAGCTTCCTGCTGATGCAGAGCCTGAAGGCAGCAGGTGATGGCTCAAGTACTTGAGTTCCTGCCACCAACACTGGAGACTCAGATTGAATTCCAAGATCCTGGTGTCAGCCTGGCCCAGCCCAGCCCAGGCTGTTGACCACATTTAGGGAGTGAACCAGCTATAGAACCAGAGCTGTCTGTC